CTCAACTCCTACCTGTAGCTTAGAGACAATACATTCCTTAGCACATGAACTGTTCTAAGAAGTGCTGCCACCTGCGCACTCCCGCTGATGTCAGGTATACTCAAGGTGGCTTCTTTCCAGCAAACTTTCGTAAGTACGCCATGAAACAGAATCAGTTATAAAGACAGATTTATGGATTCATCTGTGGCACCTTGCATTATTAGAAATATTCATAGAAATATGATTTAATTTTTTCTTACTCGGTTACTAAACAGGTTGTTAATTTTTTTTTTTAAACGGAAAATAACTGAGTTGAAAATAATTCACTAAGAGTGTACTAGACGATCCTAAGGAAAGAAGAAGGAAAGAAAGGAAAAGGAAGGAAGGGAAGAAAAGAAAGAAAGAGAAATGTATGACGCATGACCCAATTGAGGGTGGAGATAGGAGTCAGAAAGAGATTTAGGTCAGCGTCTTGGCCGATTTTCGAAAGTCATTTTGGTAAGAATGTCGGTCAGAGCACCTAGCCTACTTTTGCATGGAAAGACACCTTATCAATTTGGATAAAGAGAAATTTTGGGAACAATGAAACAATTTTTAATCAGAGAAAAAGTGTCTTTGGGTTGAGGGGAGTGACCGGTGGAACGATATACAGACCTGTTAAGAATTGGACACCCACGTTAATAAAGTAGAGACATTTCAATGTAGATAATTAAGATTTTCGACTATCAGGAAAAACAAAGAGGTAAAAAGAAGGACAATTGCTTTTGGCTCACAGAGGGCGCCAGGAAGGCGGAAAAGATCCTTTCTAAAAGTCAAGACTAATTAGCAGCGGGCTGTTTGACAAAGTCCAGGTGAGAGAAAGCCAAAGATTGTCATTTTGCGTACGTGCAAAAAAGGGGCAAAATTGGATTTTGTTTTTTAAACAAGAACGATGTAACCACGCCCGCAAACAGAGGGAGAGGATGTTCGATCAATAACAATTGGTCGAATACGATCACGTGACCTGCGGAAGAAAAGGGAAAGAAATGTTCGATCAATAACAATTGGTCGAATACGATCACGTGACCTGCGGAAGAAAAGGGAAAGAAATGCTCGATCAGGAACGATTGGTTGAAAAGCGGTCACCTGACATACGAGAGACAGAGAGAGATGGATATGCGCCTCCCCACCAAAAGCACTATGAGGAAGTAGGGGTGAAAACAATAGCGATAATGGAGAAGACAGAATTAATGCAGCTTTTGGAATTATCGAGAAAACCCTGACGCCGACAGACCCACCCCAGTTTGTTGCGGCGTCAATATAAGCAGGACCCCAGTCGACAGAAATCAGTTGAGTAGAGTTGGAGTTGCAGTTGGAGTTGAGAGTTGGACCGCGGGCAGGGATAGAGCCTGAACGCGGCCATCAGGCCCGATTCACTCGCCCCTTTGCGGGCAGAAGAATCCTCAGACAAGAAATCCTTCCAGCCCAAGTCGAAGACAGGAGAACTTCCAGCCCAAGTAGACGAAGAAGAAGATTGCCTGAAAGCCTGAGAAGAATTGGAGCTGCAGACAAGCCGAAAGTCGATGAGAAGTTAAAGTTCAGCTCCGGACGGCAGTGAGAAGAGACCACCTCAGACGACAGAGAGTTGCGGCTAAGTTGAAACAAGAAATCTTCCACTAAGTTGAAACAAAAATCTTCCACCAAGTTGAAACAGGAAAACTACCAGCCCAAGCAGACGAAGAAGAAGAAATACAACTCAAGTCGGAGAGAAGAATCAACTGCGAATGATCGATAGAAATTAGCCCCAGTGTCGAACTGAACCACACTCCGACATACATACATGATTCTAGAAAGTAGGTAATTCGACATTTTTCTATTGTGTGATAGAAGCTTGGTGCCATAGTCCACAGAGCGGGTCGGGAAATGAGAACAATTTTGTTTTTATGTAACGGACTTTAAGATATAAAAGGTTGTTACCCTTTTTATCAGCAATTTTGTTTGGTGTCGTGAGTTTTTATTTTATTTGTGTTTTGCCACCCCCGTCGGACTCAACTTGTATCGGCCCCGATCCCTGCTGGTCCCGTCTGTCTAAGATCTAAACACAGCGTGGGTAGACAGACCGGAGATCGGTATAGTTGCTTTAGTGACCAGGTATTGGAAGCGAGTCGGGAAAGGCGAGGCTGGTGATCATCTGACCAAAGGGTTGGAGCGGCACGCTTGGACCCAGGAGGAGCGACCAGGAGGAGCGACGTCACCGTTGGCGCCGTAACCAAAGGATCCGACACTGGGCCAGGTGTGTAACCGTCACACATCTAAATGCGTAGGTGAGAAAACCAAAAATGATGTCATATGTCCGCAAGCCACTTTCCAAGGCAGAAATATTCCTGGAAGTTGTCCCGACTGCGCCAGGCAGAAAAGGAAGAACTTGGGCTGCTGCTTGGTGCACTTTTTCGATTTGCCCAGACAGGTCTTGGTACCTCTGTATTTTTGCTGTTCGTGCCTTTGCGATTTTCTTCCTCGCAAAGTATCATTACCGTACTTTGTGGGGAAGAACAGACACTGCGTCTATCAGGATCCATTGACGGCCGCTCTTGGTGTACAAGTGTGATATCAGGGCGATTGCTCTCCAAGCGCCTGTTAGTCTAGATAGTTGTATCCCACATGAGGTCTATTCGCTCGTTCTCAACTACTGATGGTGATGAACTCTCGTACCACTTTTCTGTGCATTCGAGCCCATACTTCCTACACAGTTCCTAATATATTCTGACAGATACTTTGTTATGTCGCTTTCTGTACACTTTGTGTATCGACTGAGTGCAGCAACAGGCATTATTATTATTATTATTATTATTATTATTTCCTTTGATTTCTGGCGTGTACACATTTCTTTCCGGGTCCCGCCCAGAGACCTATGGTTAGAAATGGCATCATGACACTTTCCACTGACAAAAAAAAAAAAAAATATTTTACATAGATAAAGCACTTCGTAAGGTTTCGGCTGTGCTCGTGAGAACATTTTTTTTGTATTTCTTTAAGGCATGGGCTACCAGGAATCCCTTCAATTGTTCTATTGGAATATTTTCCAATCAATCTGAGGGCTCCAACTACAACCGGGATTGTTGATGTTCTCATGTGCCACATTTTTTAGATTTCGATTTCAAGGTCCGTGTATTTTGATAGCTTTTTTGAAGATTTTCAAAGGTACGTTGCAGTCTGCAGGGACTGACATATCAATAAGGAGGCATTTTTTTTTGTTTTGTTTGTGGTCTCTAATAACGATGTCAAGGCGATTAACTTTGATTGTTCTATCTGTGTGTATTGTATAGTTCCATAAAATTATTACAGGTCCTATCTCTGTAACCAGGTCTGGGTGGTCTCCATTATTATTATTATTATTATTATTATTATTATTATTATTATTCATAAAGTAATCAAACAGAGAGACGCCTTCAAAACCAAATTGCTTGTTTGTAAGGTAAAAGGTGTTAATTTAAATTTCTCCGACTCAAGAAAGCGTATATATTTTGTTCATTTGTTGAACGAAATATATTCGAAGGGCGCTGAAAAGTTCGGATGTTTGGTCAAATTTTGGGAAGTGGTTCAGGTCTTCCTCGTACATAGAACTCCCAGTGAAAAATGAACTGACTATTAATGGTTTGCGTGACTAGCGAGTTAAAGATCACTTTGAATAAGCCTTAACAAGTCCACGTATTAACAAAGATGGCGATTGTTTCTATTTTTTATATATATATATAGATTGCTGTAGGCAGGGATTTACTTGAACATTGTTTAAATATCAAACAGGAATCTTGTTTAAATATCAGACTTGGATATTATAACATTCCTTCTGTCACACACTCACTTTTCACGCAAACACTTATACTCACACACATGTTCGTGTGTACACACACACACACACACACACCCTCTCTCTCTTTCTCTCTCTCTTTCTCTCTCTCTCTCTCTCTATATATATATATATATATATATATATATATATATATACTCATCCGCTCTCATCTCTCACACAAATGCTAGCAAACACTTTCACTTGCATACACACGGGGTTAAAAGTACACACATTCTTATATTCATATGAACGCACTGATTTTATGCACAAGCTCACACTCACTCACACGTATATACACTCGTTATATATACATGTTCGTTTTCTGTCTTTCTCTCTCACACACAAATATGTAAACGCACACTTTATTGTTCATACACTCACAGAGTTTAGAAGAGATAGCAAAAAGACGTCCTTTGTAGCTCTTAATAAAGTGGGTTTTTTGCTATCTCTCCTAAACGCCGTAAGTGTGTGTGTGTCTATGTATTTAAAATAAAGTGTGTTTATCCTGCCTTCAGGATGTGGGTGATCACGGATCTCCACAATTTCTTAAACGTTCCTAAGAGCTATAAAAGACAAGAAATTGTGGAAAACAATGATCACCCACATCCTGAAGGCAAGAAGATGAAGAATAAAGAATAGGAGACAAACAAAGAGAAGAAGAAGATTAAGAAGAAGAAGGAGGAGAAAAACGAAACGAAGAAGGAGGAGAAGGAAGAAGTGAAGAAGAAGAAGAAGGAAAGAGGTAAAGAAGAAGGAGTAATAAGAAGTAAAGAAGAAGAAGAAGGAAAAAGAGACGAAGAATGAGGAGGAGGAAGTGAAGAAGAAGAAGAAGGAGGAGTAGAAGAAGGAAAGAGGTAAAGAAGAAGGAGTAATAAGAAGTAAAGAAGAAGAAGAAGGAAAAAGAGACGAAGAATGAGGAGGAGGAAGTGAAGAAGAAGGAGGTGTAGAAAGAAGTGAAGAAGGAGTAGGAAGAATTGAAAAAGAAGAAGAAGGAAAAGGAGACAAAGAAGGAGGAGAAAGAAATGAAGGTGAAGAAGAAGAAGAAGAAGAAGAAGAAGAAAGAAAGAAAACGAAACGAAGAAGGAGGAGGAGGAAGTGAAGAAGAAGGTGTAGGAAAAAGTGAAGAAGGAGTAGGAAGAATTGAAAAAGAAGAAGGAAAAGGAGACAAAGAAGGAGTAGAAGGAAGTGAAGGTCAAGAAGAAGAAGAAGAAGAAGGAAAAGGAAACGAAGAATGAGGAAGAAGAAGAAGAAGAAGAAGGAAAACGAAGCGAAGAAGGAGGAGGAGGAAGTGAAGAAGAAGAAGGTTTAGGAAGAAGTAAAGAAGGAGTAGGAAGAATTGAAAAAGAAGAAGAAGGAAAAGGAGACAAAGAAGGGGGAGAAGGAAGTGAAGGTGAAGAAGGAAGTGAAGGTCAAGAAGAAGAAGAAGAAGAAAGGAAGAAAACGAAACGAAGAAGGAGGAGGAGGAAGTGAAGAAGAAGGTGTAGGAAGAAGTGAAGAAGGAGTAGGAAGAATTGAAAAAGAAGAAGAAGGAACAGGAGACAAAGAAGGAGGAGAAAGAAGTGAAGGTTAAGAAGAAGAAGAAGAAGGAAAACGAAACGAAGAAGGAGGAAGTGAAGAAGAAGAAGAAGAAGAAGAAAGAGGAAAGAAGTAAAGAAGAAGGAGTAGGAAAGAAGAAGAAGTAGAAGAAGAAGTTACCCAAGAAAGATGTGCGAAACAACACGTAAACACGATGACTAAAACACCAGCAGTATAGCAGGATACATACCAGCTTTTCCTCTGGCCAGTTTGGGTTTATGTATTCGGCTTTGACTGTCAACTTGCAAATGTCTACAGACCGATTAACCTTTCGATGAAATGAAAGTAGTTTAGGCTGGTTCCTCACTTCTTGGCATGCAAGGCAGCTTCTCACGACGCAAGCAGCCAACTTACATCTTTCGAGTCGGACAATTCCTTTTTTCTTCTTTATTATTTCTATTACTTCTGACTTCTGCTGTTGCTATTTCTTCCTTTGCTTTTCTCTCTCTACTCTCATTTCTCTCTCTCTCTCTCTTTGTCTCTCTTTCAGCTTCTCTCTCTCTATCTCCCCCTACCTCTCTCTACCTCTTTGAAGAATGTTTAACTTGCTAATCTCACAGACTAGAGTTAGTTGTGTGAGTTCGAATCTTACGCAGAGACCCGGTGTTTTTCTCCAGAACTAGACTTAAATAAGTTTCATTAACATATTCACGTGAACAAGAGTGCCTGCCGTAGAGCAAGGTTAACAAATTAATCTCACATTGGAATGTGTGCAATTTTCACAAAACATTTAGTATTTTCACTCTGTACCCAAACCCGTCGCCCGGGGAGGCTGGGGGTGATACCTTATCGGCAAGATCATTTGGTCTCCTCCGTGAAACTGATATGAACTAATTTTAATCTGCAAATTATTGCGCGCACCCCACCTTTGATTTAATGGCCACCCACAACACTAAAAAGAAAAAATTCCGGTGACGGGGCGCTGTGTACCTGGCTAGGATAAGTTTAATAAATCTTTTCATGAGTACCAAATATGAGTGCCTGCCGTAGAGCAAGATTAGCAGGCTAAGCTGGCAATGGAATGCGTTCGAGTTTCACAGATTGCACAGTATTTTCGCCATGTCAGAGGCTAGAGAAAGCTTAATAAATTATGTATGCTCATATGTGCCTGCCGTAGAGTTATGGTTAGTTAAAGAGTCTTGCAGATTTTTGCTTTTGGGGGTAGTTTATTGTCGCAAAAATACATCAGTTCTTCCTTATTTTCATTCGTTCAGCCTCTTCCGTTTTCATTCCTTTTTCTTATAGCTACCTCCATAAATTTGCTAAAATACGAAAAAAATGGCAAAACATGCTAAAACAAAATTTTATCGTAAAAATCTTCCTGTTTTTACTAAGAGAGATTAAAGAATTTTTTATCTTTAATTTTTTTCATTATCTATATTATTCGGACTATTGTCCTCATCTTTGTCGCCATATTTATTACAATGTTGCGGCCGTTGTACGCTCCGGCCTTCTTCAGGTGGTTGGAATGTCGAACTGAACCCTTTATTTCGCTCACTGGGGTAGACTGTTCTAGTTACACGTGTCATGTTTAATGGATGTTAGTTATCTGTTATCTCCTGTTAATTTTCCCTCTGAAAGTTCTCCACTGCCTTAACCGGGTATTGAACTCACACTCTTTGGGTCCTGTCACTGGATCTAACTAACGCCTTTATCAACTGTGCCATGTGTTCAGGAGCGGAGTAATGGATAGCGGCTTGGATTGAGGAATCGGAGAGAGTTCGAATTCTAGTCGAATCCATTATATTCACTTACGTGCTAATACCCTTGAGAAAGGTGTGAATCCTCTTCTTCTCCCCTCCAGCTATGGTGAAATAGCAGGATAGACTGGGTTCTATAGCCTTGGATGGTAACTGGTTAAGGAGAAGGACAATTGTGGATTTAAACCCGGAGTGGAGCCCCTAAGGCGGATGGACGGCAGTTTGTGCTACCTTCCGGCAACTCCTGCAACCACGCTGGTACCAAACTGTATTGGTTTATCCTCTCCTTTGGACTCTGCTAGCAAGGCTGAGTGGGGGGAACTAGACGTCCGGGCAGCCCTACTTCTCCATATATCCCGCCCAGTCTCGTCCCTCGAGACGGACGGACGCCGACGACAACGACTTATAATCATGAATTGAATGTTCAAATAGCGCATTGCTGTAAAGTTGAAAGAGAAACCGAAGAAGGCAGCGTGTCACCGACTTTACAAGTTTGAGCTAAATGATGGAAAACAAAGAGGAGTTGTAAAGGATTAAGTAAGGATGCTGTGGAGCGCCATAATTGCCGATGTTCAAAAATGACACATTGAAAGAGAGAGGGAGAGAGAATGGATATGTGAGGTGTGAACAAACAGATAAAGATACAATTGCCACAAAAGCAAAGAAATGGGTCGTATAGAAGTAAATATTGAGAACCATAAAAAGGCAGGAAACTGTGGAGAACCATGATCGAATTACTATTAATATTTCTTTATTCTTTTCTCTTCTTCTTAATTCGTTTCTTCTTTCTTCTTTTCTTTTTCCGTAACTTTTTTCTTGTCTCTTACTTTCTTCTTCCTTTTCTTCAGCTTAACTTGTCTTAGTCATTTCACCCCAAGCAAGGCGATAATGCCACTAAGACGTAAGGTGTTACTGAGAATGAAGGGAAATAAGAGGACTTTAGTGAGGAGAAAGAACACTAAAAGAACAAGATTCAAGAAGACAGAAGATAGAAATTGATGTTGGATTTAAATTTTTGAAGCTCGTAAGTGGCAAGGAAGCATGGATTCGGAAGAGAGTTCCACGGGTTAGAAGTGCGAGAAAAGAAACTATTAGAATAGAACTTACGGTTATATTTAGCTAGTTCAACAGGACAACGATAAGACGTAGTTACCAATCTAGTGGTACGCTTAAATTTTTCCCTTTCGTCTTCTTTTTTCTTCAAATTACTTTCTTTCTTTTTCATCCTCCCCCTCACTGTTTTTAATTGCTGATCGCTTTGCCTTCTCCTCATCCTTCGACCACTATTGCGCTTCAAGCTCTTCGCTCATCCACAACCATTTCGTAATGGTTTCATTTTCTTGTCTTCTTGCTTTCGTTCTATTTGAAGTCCTCCTTTCTCCTCCTCTTCCTCATACTCTTCCTCCTCCTCCTCATCTTCCCCCTCCTCTTCCACTTCCTCCTCTTCCTCTTCCTCCATTTCTGCCTCATAAAGTAAGGTAAACGTGAAAGCTAAAGATAATATAGTGACGCTATCCGATATCACCTTCGCCCGCTCTTTTTTTAACCGTCAACAAAGAAAAGCGATTTCTATTATTATTTGTGATATTGGATAACGAATTTAATATATGAGATAAGGAAATTGAACATAAAATAGGTTGCAATGGGGGTAATTTCGCCCAACACCGCCATCTTGTTATAAAATCAAGACATTAACCTAAAAACTCTAGTCATGTTCTTAAATAGCCTCGTCAGCTCGAGACTTCCATATGGATGACATGCATAGCGACAAACACGTTCAGAAATATCTGAACTCTCAGCTGCATAGGACCGTTTTTTAAGATCAATGGTTAAAATGGCTTAGAACAGTCGATCTCAATCACCGTGCCGCGTCACACTAGCGTACCGCACGATTCTCTTACGTGCGCCGCAAAAATATTGTCTAACACACACACACACACACACACACACACACACATATATATATATATATATATATATATATATATATATATATATATGTATAAAATGACAATTGGAAAAAAAATCTTAGATTTTACCGACGCGTTTCGTCTTCCTACTTTTTCAAGGCAAAAATGAAATCGAAATGTTTTTGTTGTTATAGTTACATTAAAAAATCCAAATTTAAAAAGATAGACCCTTCTGTCTAAGCATTTTGTCTGGTTAATGTAAATTATCTTTATAGTAAGGGATTTTTTCCCATGTCGACAATATAGTTAAATGTTATAAATACTGTTTTATTGTAAAACTGAGCATTTAATTCAATATTTGTATCTATAAAAAAGAATTTATAAACATAAAAATGTCTTAAAATAATTGTCGGACTTTGTCCATTTCATAATATATATATATATATATATATATATATATATATATATATATATATATATATATATATATATATATATATATATATGTATGTTGGGCGCGTGGCCCAGTGGTTAGAACGGCCGTTTTCTGACCGGTATCGGATCTCATCATTGTCGATTTGTCAGAAAGGCGACTTCTTGATGTGAGCACACTGGATCGAGGTCGTGCGGCACCTTTGAAAAGTGCCTGAAAACCATACCACGGGTTGATCCAAGCCTTTTGTGTGAAATTGGGTAGACGGAACCCTTTGGGGCCGTCAATAGCTGCGCTAAAACGAAGCCACAAGTCATAGTGGCCGAGGACTTGAGCGTGCTGGCCTTGTTCAAATTGTTGATCACGCTAGATAACACGCTCTCTCCCAGAAACTGTAACTAAGATCTGCTCAGCATAGTTGCAGTATAAACCACAGGTAGGTTCTGTGAGTGTTGAACAAAAACAAAATATACCTGAGCGAGCGTCCGCAATAGGGATTGCCTAGTAGACGGGTATCCTCGAATGCGAGTGGCCAGTTATTATTATATATTTCTGTGGAAGTAGTAATGGCACAAGTAGTAATAAACTTTTTCAAATAATTTTTTTAATAATATTAAACTATTTTTCGATTATGTTATTTAAAATACATTGAAATAAAATAAGTTCATATTTGTGTGTGTATATTTTTTTTAAATAAATGATTTTATTTCATAGCATTTAAATGTATACCATTTAAAAATTTTGCTAAGTGTGCCGTGATATTTTCATTTGTTCCTATGTGTGTTGTTGCTAAAAAAAGTTGAGAAACACTGGCTTAGAGCGAATGGTACCTGCAGCTCTTAGCAAAGACCATCCTTATGCTAAATAACAAAAACCACATCGCTTGGAGACTTTCAACATCAGCAGCAACTAAAATAGATATCACACACGTATAACTCAAAGAGAAAATAATCAAGATGTTGACATTCCACATAACTTCAAATAAAAGGTTAGGAAGGAAACCTGCATCAATTCTTGAAAGATCGGTAACAGCTACTGGACTTTGGAAACCTATTTTCCTGAAAAATTGTTTTAAGAGAATGATTTTATAAATTTCAACCAATAGTAGTACTGGCTTCTAGGTCAATGAAAGCTGGATGTTTCCTTATAAGGAAACGGCTAAGATTGCTGTTACCATAATTTGTCACTATCCGATATCGTCATCACTCGCTCTGTATTAACTATTAACAAAGAAAAGCGATCTCTATTATAATTTGTGGTACAGTTAGCCCCCGCCTATTCGCGTTTCAGCATTCGCGGCTTCACACATTCGCGGATTTTTCTCTACAACATATTTACTTGTTATTAGCGTAAACACCGAATATCCGCGTGTTTGTCTGATGAAAATTCCCGAGAATTCTTTCGATTCGCGTATTTTTTCGATAGAATGAATTTAAAATATTCTTGTATTATTTTTCTGTTATTTAAATAACTTAAAACATAAAATATTTTAATTTTATGGTAAAAATTGGCAGAATTGTACATCTTCATTGTAAAAGAAACGAACGCAAAAATATGCGTAGTGCTTGGGCTTTGTTCTTTGTTAGGGGCTGCAGCTGGTGTCTTAAAAGTGGCTTATATTAAGTCTGGGGGAATCATCACAGTTCTGTTTTTAGAAAATGTTTTGAACTTTATATTTTATGTCTTGTTACACATATTTTATACAGTATTTTCAATGTCGATCTATGTGTCATTAAAAACGGTTATTGTACGTATGAAATAAAATTTACGCTAAATATATGGTCACCAATACTATTTTTCAAAAATGTTTTAAAATGGATCTGAAATATTTCTAAAATGATTAGGATGAAAGTTTAAGGCATATTGGGTTTTAATAATCAGGATAGGTACTTATAAGGCGGGGGTTACAAGTATTCGCGGGTTCTAAGTATTCGCGGCCGGTTCTGGTCCCTAACTCCCGTGGATACGGGGGACTCACTGTATTTAAAATTAAACGTTTGTTTCAGTTTCAAGTTTTTATTTGTCATTGTTTTTCTTTTTAAGATTTAACTTTTTTCTTTTAAAGGAATCCTTGGGTCAAACTTCATTCTTTGTCCTCGCCACTTCTAACCTTCACAGCTAAGCCACATGCCACGCCCATTGTAACAGATTACCCTGATTCCCTTCGTATTCCATTGGTGAGAAGTGAGTTACACTCGAACAGCCTCTTCCTGCGGACCACTGCTCTGTGGAACCGACTCCGAAGAGGTTGCTTCTCTGTCCACTTCTTCCCTCCTATCTGCATAAACTGTCACTTACTCTGTAACCCTCTACCTCCAGTGGCTCCCGGGCCTTGTACAGGGTGAACCTCACTGTAAAAAAAAGGGGGATGGCGGCTTTTACATTTTAGGTAACACTCTAGTTGAACCTCAGGCAGTAATGGCTTAAATAGTTTCAGCATCCTAGCTTAGTAGGAGTTAATTAAACCAAATATTGTATAAAACTTAGCGAATAATAAGTCCAGAGGTTGGCCCTCATAGTGTATAAAAGCAAGCATTTGTAGATCGGTCGTGACATGGGGTTTCGACCCCAGTTACTTTCTCACCGACGTAATGTGGCTTCCCTCTGTCTTTTCTATAAATATTTTCATGGCACTTGCTCTGACGAGCTATTTTCACTGGTGCCCCAACCGCATGAATTTACTAAATTGGCATCTTGGTCCCACCCTTTCACTGTAGAAACAGTTAAATATAACCGCCTCTTCTCCTTCAACAGCTTCTTCTCTTGCACTTCCCAACAGTGGAACTCCCTTCCTCTTACTTGTTTCCCTGATAACTATAATTTTCAAAAATTTAAATGTAATGTCAATCGACATTTTCTGTTGCCTTGATCACCATTCTTCTTTTTATCCTCCTCCATTCCTC